GTCCTCTATAATGTTTGTAGCAATAAGGCAGTATGGTATTTTTCTATTCCCTTTCATGGGGAAAACTTAAGTAACTTGATTGTTCTGATTAAATTTCCGAGTCTTATTTACTTAAAATAAATCATGGTAACAGGCCCCTTCTTAAATCTATCTTCTCCTGTCACTTTGTGCTGGTTTTGGCTGGGATGGAGTTAATTTTCTTTGTAGTAGCTGGTATGGAGACATGTTTTGGATTTATGCTGAAACCAGTGTTGATAATACAGTGATGTTTTTCTTATTGCTGAGCAGTGCTTGCACAGTGTCAGGGCCTTTTCTGCTTCTCACACCACCCCACACTTGAATCATTTTACAAGTTGGCTGTTGTCACTGAACCCAGGAATGTTCACAAGTGTACAGTCTTTCTTCTTTCAAGTCCCTTCGTAAGAGATGTATATTCACAGAGATTGAAGAGGGTAGGAGATGGTACATTAGTATATAAACTCAGTTCATAAATTCCCAGTTTCAGTTTTTAGTTGGTACCCCTTGAACTGTGTTTAAGCTTTCAACTGGGGAGTACTTTCAATCATCTGCTGCTTTTCGGTGGAGTTTCTTGAAGGAATAGTTTTCCATAACAGTTGTGTTTATCCTCTTTTATAACCACTTGTTTTAGCAGACCTAATTCTGATTGCTTTTTTGTTGTTATTAATTTGTTAGGCATCTGACTTGTCCCTCAGGTGCACAAAGAGAGTGACAGGATGAAAACCCATGAGTCCATCCATGCTGCTGCATTGTTCAAGTACTTTAATGTTCCTGCTCTTCATTTTCTTCTAAGACAATTTCTTTGTCAAGAGAACAACAGTCTCTTTTTACTCATCTTTGGAGTCCTGTTTTACCTGGCTGCACATTCTGATATTTCTGTTGTGATATCTACACATATTTTCATTTATTTTTTAACTCTAGAAAAACAAAACCTCTCCTGCAGAACCAGGTACCATGCTGGCCAGAAAACTTGTTTTTGTGTGTTTTTTTTTTTTCTATTGTATTATTATAACTGATACAAAACTTAAATGAAACTCTTGGTCTCGGAGACTGGAAAAGAAAGTATTTGAGAATGTGGGGAGAAAACAAATGAAGATAAATGGCTTTTTGTCTCTTCTCGTAGGTATGATTCTTAGACGTGTACATACACACCAGCAAACAAAAATAATAGTGTGTTGGACTTGGTAATCTACTTCTAATTGAAGCTTTGTGTCAATATAATTAACAGTTAGGAGATCAGTGCACTTTGTGCTTCTTTAAATGTACTATAACTTTCCCTGATAATATATAATAGATGGATAGCTGTGCTGATCCAGATGTCCTAGTGAGATACTCACAGCTGCAATAATAGTGGTAGTGAAACCATGAGACTTTTAATGATATTGCTGCCTTTCAGATGTCCAGCTGATGTAACTCTTGCTTGGGAAAACTAGCTGTGTTTTCATCAAGCTTTGTGGTGAATAAGGCTCCTCTTAGTTCCTTATAGGTGTTTTACTTTGCAATGAAATGTATCAGTCTTGGTCTGTGTTGGGGTGAATATTTTTAACAACTGTGTATAAAGTCAGAAAAAGTGAATGTTGTTCCATCTCAGAAGTAAAACCTCCAATACTGAAGACACTTATGCTTTTATTAGCCAGAAAAAGTAATATAGAGTAATAATTATTGTAATGCTCTGCAAAATACAAACATATTAATGTTAATTGTGGGAACTGCATAACTTACGATTTTTCTGTTTCTTTGATTCCTTAGCTTTACAGTGGCTTAATCCTGACTATGCAAACAGATTACAGTTTAGTTTTATTGTTGTTATTAATGAAAATGAATCTTTCTGCAGGTATAGAAATTGCTGGATTTAGTGGATATGGCCCCTTCCTAACAAAACTCCACAATTAATGATTCTGAAAATTGTGTTCTCTAATTTGACACCCCTCAATTCATGTTTTGTGTGAGCTTTTTTACCCGAAAGTTATGGAGATGTGAGAGGAGTGAGCCTGTCTGTACCTCCTGCCCGTGAAAATTTAGGTCTGCATTAAACAGGTTGAATAGTTTGGCACAATACATGTTGGTAAATCTTCTCTTGTTTCTAATTGAAGGCCGAGATCTTCTCTATCTGTTCTGCTTTGTTAAATAACTTTATTCTCTCACAGAGGTTTGACTGAAGAGAGCTTTCATATCTCTTTTGACACAGAAAGAATAGCTTGCTTATTTGAATAGCTAGATTCTTCCAATATATATCTTCTAGTTTCAGTTTCCTGACTTCAGTTTTCCTTCAGTGACAGCAATTAAGGTGACGCCTTATCGAAGCATCAAGTTATCAAATGCTTAATCGTCTGCTGCTGTGCATCCATATCAGCTTATTTCTTTGTACAGAAATCCTACATTTTTCAAGACTTTAGTTTGGATTATGGAAAACTCACGGTAGACTTGAGTGAGGTTTAAAGGTTTAGATTGATGCCTTTGGGATTATTAGAATAAGGAGCCCATTCATTTGTTCATTCACGAATCCTTCTAAATCAGGTTTGGCTTCTCTTTTGTGAGAGTCTGTGTATTTTTTTTTAAGTATTAAAACTTTGATTTCATACTTAGCAAGAGAATGAAAGAGAGGAAGAACATAGCAAGTGAGGATGAAAAGTCTTTTCAGAAAAAAAGCCCAAAGACTTGTTGATACTGGATAGCGAAGCAGGAAACTACATGTGTCATAAAAGGCTCCAGCTTGTTGGATAAAGGCTGAAACTCAGGATGTAGACTATAAATACAGAACAGTTTCATAAAAATATTTTTAAAGTGCAGTTCAGAGCACTTTAGAGAAGCTGACTGATAAATGTGCAGCTACTTTAATATATATATTGGTGCAGATGCATGCACACATATATATTTATACCATACTTTCATCTGTAAACATGAATATATTCAACTCAGTGATAAGTATTTCCCGTAGGAGACTGGTAACGTTACTAGCACCAGATGTAAATTTGGGAGCTACAGACCATATTCTTTGCAGATTCTAAAACAGCAACTTAGTACAGAAATAAAAAGGAAGAGAGTCCAATTTCAACAGGCAGAAGGGAAAGAATTTGTGAAGCTGAATATTTGCCTACACAAAAAGTTGCGAACTTCTTTTTCCACAGTATTTTGTTGCACGTTTTTATTTTTAAGCATTATATCTAACAGCCTTCTGAGGATTTTTGGGATGTCTTCTATCCTGACCAGTTGATAGTTGTTGAAATTTTCACTCAACTTGGAAATAAAAGTGTTTGTAGTTGAACTTGCTGAAGCTGTTAGCCAAGAAACATGTCTGGAACAGATTTACTAGCTGCAATTAATGACCACATTCACTTTTTTCCCTCTGACTTGTCAAATGTGAACTTACAGGGGTCTCAAACTGAGTTGCTACATCCTTTTGCTTGCAAAGTTGCTTTGGTTTTGAGACTGAAATGAGTGTTGTTCAGAATTGATTAAAGTACAGTAATTTGGAATATCAGAAAAATTTGTAATAATACAAGAGTGTGTTTCTGATTGGTAGTCTCTTGATGTGCTTTGTTGTACGAAACAAGGCAAGGCTGGAAAACATCTTTTTTTTCTTACTATGTTTTTAAATTTTTTTTTCCTTTACCAAATACCAGAATAACAATACTACAGCAGGCCTGTAATAACAGAGTAGCGGTAATGTTACGTCACTCTGTTTATGACTTCATTTTTCTCTTGTTATTCTTTCTAATTGATAAGCATTTACATGAAGATACCCATCTCTCTGAAATCCCTCCATTGCTGCCTATTTCTGTTGCACCAGTTTCAAAGGCAGCAAGTCTCCCAAGGTGAGACTTCATCCACCCACCCAAACGAACCCAGTGTACTCATGGCAAGACCCACAGTCAGTCAAGTTCCCCAAAGACTGGGAGGGAGGAAGCCCAAAGTATTTGGTATCTGACAAATATTGCTGCCCGTTTGGTGTGCTAACTGTGTGAGAAACCTGTTTTGAATTTGTGCTTAAACAGTTTTCGCACGTATTGTTGAGATTTTTGTTTAAGGAACCCTGTGTTGCATCACATGGTCTGTGACCTGATTGCAGTCCTGTTTCTAGAGAGAATAGCTGATTGGAAAATTAAAATAATTGAACAACCGAAACTGCTCAGAATGGTTTGCTTAAAAGAAGCTGCTGTGCCATCTGCTTGTGCCAGTAAGGATGCTTGATCACATGCTGTCAAGTAAAAGCAAACCCCAGAAATCTTACATACCCAAGTACTTCTCTGTATGATTAGAGCTGATCTTACCTCAGGTGGCATTTTCAGAAAAAGAACATAAACAGGGATTTAGGTCATGTCTTGTAACCTACTAAATTCTGTGTGGTTGTTTTGCATGTGAAAAGCAGTGGTGAAACACATTAATTTCAGGAAGGCAGTCTTATTATCCTTCCTTTCTGATGAAGAAATGTAAGGATTTTTACTTTCAATTTTTTTGAGCATAAGACAGTGTTCTGGAGTGGATATTTAACAAGGACTGCTTTGTCAGCTGGGTGGAGGTCGTGTGCAGGGAGGTTTGCAGGCTGTGTTTTTTGCCTGCAGTGGCACAGCACTCTGCGACTTCCCCGAGAAGATGATGTGTCACATTTGTGCTCTTTGCTCTGAAGCATTCCCAGTACATGTCTCTGACAACATGGGGAAAATAATGACATGAGAGAAATTCAGGATTTGATACCTGTAGGTCACCTGTTAAACTTCAGAGCTTGGAAATTATGCTGTTAGGACTGGCAATATAAATGGTAGAGACCTTCTACAACTGACTGAATGCTTGTTCGGTACTGCTGACTACCACTTTGCAGCCTTTCAGTCTCCAAATGAAGATGAAGGGTTCTGATTTCTGAAATTTACGTTGTTTAAGCCAAGGTTCAGCCTTTCAGGACCCTTGTTGTCCACTCTCAAACTGTGGCTTTGATGATGCATGATGATTGAAGCTAAATGCCTTCTCTGTTGCTGTGTCTCCAGGCATTGCTACAGGGAGCCTCTAGGAGTTCCAGAGTGAAGAGATCTGCCTTCATCTGGAGACCTCTGTTAAAGGTGAAGACCTCCTAATAGGCCAGACAGCCTTAGCAGGAGCTCAGAAATCATACATCAAGGTAAAATGATTCATTTTTCAAGCAAATTGAATTGGCTGATACCATTTTCAAAATAGAGATTTTTTTCTTGTTAAATAAACACACAATTACATCTCTGATCTTTTTCCTTTTGTGTGTATTACTCCTTGCTACCTGGTACAAATGTTGTAGTAGCAAATGCCAGAAGGGGGGTGAGTGGTATACATCATAGTGCATTGTTGATTAGAGCCAGAAGTAACTCTTTATATTATTAGTAGGAAGATATATCTGCAGTATTTTGTTCACAAGAGAACAGGCTGTTTCTGAGCTCTACAGCATGCTCTGTTTTTAGAAACATATCCCACTTTAATTGTCGTATTCAGAGCTCGCTTTGAGTGGCCACAAAAATATGGAAATACTCTCTGATATCTTCAGCAATGGGAGAAGGACAAGGTTTGCATATCATGAATTTCTGTCTATCAGCACTGTAGTTATTTCTTAGTATGGTCATCCAGAACCCATTCTTGCTTGTAAAGGGCAAATGCTGATGGAAGAAAAAGAAATGTGACCCCAAGAACTTTTTTGAACCTATAAATGCTATAGTCTCAGGCACTCTGGGAGATTTGACTATGCTATGGCTTTGTTAGCTAGCCAGGATTTTGAATGTAGTGATGATATATGCAGAATCTTTCCTTCACACTGACAAGATTAATTGAACTTTGTGTAGAAAGTTGGCTGAAGAAAGTGAGTAGTAGTGGAAATGTTTTCTACGTATTTCTTCAAGATTAAACGTAGGTACTTCTAAAGGTCTGCCAACCTCTACTTTTTAAAAATAGCTGTTGCAAGGTGTTAACTTCACTGTTGGAAAGCTTATTAAATAAATATATCTTGATTCATCCGAGAAGAATTGCAGATTTTTGTAGTTAATCCTGTATTGATCTTTCTAATTTAGGCTGAAATTAGAGCTCTGAACTAGAACAAAGTTCATTGTCCTGCCATCCGTTGAGTAAATCAAAAGTTTTGCGATTAGCACAATCAGTGTTTCAGCTCATAACCTTCCCTTATGATCTGCTCTCCATGCCTGGGAGTCAGACCACCAAGCACATTTAGGCCCCCTCATCCCTTTGTTACACTATGCCCTTTCTTTCTGCTTCTCAGTTCTTTGATTTCAGTTGCAACTGTGTTTCTCCACTCTACTGGCAAGGTCATCTTGAACAACTGAGGATACTCAGTATTGAACTGAGTATTCAAACCTTGACAGAACAGCAAAACTGATGATGATGATGATGATTATACACTGATTTCAAACTGAAGGAAAAAACCCAGTCCAGAAATACATATCTCCAAAATGTTTCCTTTTGTTACACTTGCCTTAGGAGTACACGAAACAATGCAAGTTGAGATAACCACTAAAAAATACAGTATTTCTTATGAAAGTTATTTAAATGTTTATTTATATTAGAAGTGCAGTTTTATACATTAAGAGAGTAAAGACTTCCTAGAAAGTATCCTTGTAATCCCATGGGGTGGTGGTGGTTAGGTTTCATGTACAACAGTGTTAGTGTACTGTCAGTGCACAGCATAGCATCCAGGATGGAAATGCAGCCTTGAATGCTGTCACTGCTTCCAGCAAGGCAGTTTGTTCTGTGCCTTTCTGTCTCGTTTCCCTTTGTTGGAGGGATTTGTTGCTAACCAGAAACACATGATACGAGACAGCCAAAAGTTCTGGTGAAAATCAAGAACAGTTCATAGCTGTGAAGATTTTATATTTGCCCTAGATTCTTTTTTTTTCATTGATGCAGCTGTAACTGTTGTTGTAAATCATATAAATAATTGATCAAGGAGTTCTTGTTACCTCAAATAATGCTAAGCTTATTGCTTCTCAGAACTGTGCTTCTCTTTGTTGTACTGCAGCATAGCTCATAGCCTGCTCTCTGTGTGTGGGTTTTATTCCCTTAAAATTTTCTTCTGCTCCTGACCCTTTGCTCTTCCCCTCTTCCCCCTTCCCTGGTTGTTTCTGCTTCAGTGTATTCCATGATTTGACTGAAAAACGGGATCTTTTTTAATCAACAGAAATGCACTTAAAAAAACCTCCCCAACCTTGGGAACTGTGCAGTGCGCACATCTGTTTTCACATAAGCATGAATTGCTGGCTTTACAAACACGAAGCATGTAGTCCTTGCCACAGAGTTAGCTAAAGTGTTCTGTAACTTGAGACTCTATTTGAAATAAAAACAAAATTGTATAGCTTCTTTACCATACTAATGGAAAACATTTAATTTACTTCTTGAAACCGACCAAAAGTATGACGCAATGCTACTCAAGCAGATTTACAGTGCCTTTTCTTCCCTGGAAATCAATACAGCTCGGAGGTGCTGCTATGGGAGCTGGCTCATTGACCGCGATCCAGCTGCATTCAAATGTAAACTTCTGTACCGCAGACCAAAACTGGTGATTTTGATTTATTCAGGCATCACTCTGTCTTTGAGATATTATGGTGTTGGATTTTATTCTTTGCTTTATTGCCATTAATGTTAGGTTGGATTTCAAAATAGCAAGCTCAGTGGGTTTGTGATTTTTTTTTTTTCTGAAATCGTTCAATGATTTTTCTACATTTCCTGAATTAAAGTACTTAGGTCTGTGGTAGTGATACCAGCAAAAGCAGATCTATGTACACAGCCATGTGTGCCTTTCAGTGGAGTCTTTTTTCCCTTAAAAACAAGTAAAAAAATAACACCACCAAAAAACCAGGCCTGCACTCAGTGTGAGCAGTAAGGGCTAACTTAATCGTTTTCCACTTTGTACAGAGTAAGCTCTAAACATTAAATGTTGTTTGATTTTTCTCCTGCTAGAAGAGGCAAAATGCAAAAGCATTCTTTAGCGGAGTCCAAAATAGTTTTTACAATAGAACTATGGAGTTTATTTAATAAGTAAAACCAACAGTACCTATTTTCATAGTGCATAAACTTTTATGCCTTTGTTTCCTTTCTGATTCCTCACAGCCTCCACTAATGGTTTTGACTTTATTTAAACTCTCTGCTGTAAAAGGCTATTGGTGTTTCTCTCCTTATTTTTCACCTTGATGGGATTTCAGCCTTGCTTAAGAATCTTACTTCTGGCAGAAAGTCTTTGCCAAAATAGCCCTTAGAATGGGGTCCTTGATGCTGCCTTGCTTCCCAGATGTATTTCTTTGGGAAGTCTGTCACTGATGGTCTGTGTGCTGGTCATGCTTACTTTTACCAGAAGGAAAATCATTACTTGATACTTGTCTGCTAACTTAGAAGTATATTTCATCTTTTTTTTTTAAAAAAGAAAAATTCTACTTCCATTTCTCACGTAAATTTAATCAATTTTTTTTAATCCTCCATTCGTCTCATATGTGTCAATCTCATGGTGAATAAAGAGCCTGAGAAGATAATGTAGACGAATTGAAGTCCTTTTTGCAGGGATAGTTTGGAATGTTCTGGGTTAGCGAAGAGGAACATGGGGATTTGAGTTGTATGGGAGTCTGGGATTGGAGGTTTTTTGGAGTTTTTTTTCCTTGAGATGGTGGAGAAGGTAATAATACAATGAAGAGGAGAAGCAATGTTGCTGATAGCTGCATTATTTTCTTTTAAAAGGCTACCAAATGAGTCTTGATAGAGAAGTACATAGAATCCAAATTACAAATATTATTGATTTGGTTTATTTGGAGGAAAACAGTGAAAACAGAGATTTGTGCCAAATTTCAGTACAGATTCAAACATTCTTTAATACAATTTTGTATATTTTCAAACTACGGAATTGTTTTACTCATAGTATAAATACTGATTTTTAAACATACAGCGACAGTGTGATTATCATGTTTTCTCTTAAACATAAGGACAACATATATCCAGTTGCTTCTTAGACATAATAGAGATTTCAGCTATTAGATACTGCCCAACAAACTTTAACAGCTTAAGTTTATTTTCTGAAATGCTTCCTGAAGATGGACAAAATACCTAACTTAATTGGGGTGGCAAATCTGGATCTTTGGTGTTTCTACAATCATAAATGTCTCCCTGGCTGCTATTTGGGAAATAATGTCTTGTGTTGCGGCGTATCAAATTACTGGAGGTACTGCCCCAGTAGGGGCATCATTCAGAGGAATGGTGTTATAAGGAACATCACATAAATCTTTAGAAGAAGAAGAGACACATTCCTCCCCCCTTAATTTTTTGGTAAGATTTTTCATCGTAAGATTCAACCATTTCTACTCAGACTCCCTAAGTGAAACAGAAATGCAGTTAAATTCAACAAACGGGCTGACACATTTTGGCAATGTGTTTAGACCATAGGTTTTCCGTTTGACTGTTCCAAAATTCTTGTTAGCTTGAAAGGTTTGTCATTTTCCTTTTGCTGTTTTCTCTATACCAGCACTGGCAGTCCAGGCTAGAGTATGCCATAAAGAATTTTAAAGCTACACTTTGAATAAAGCTTACATTTACTACAGAATATTTGCTTTGCATGGTTACAGTACAAGCACTGTGTTCCTGTGTAAGCACTGTAATGAAGTTGTTAAGAAGAAGAGAAACACTTATAGCATTTGCACTAAAGTTCATGGAGCATGAGATAGCTGCGCTGAGGATGCTGGTACTTGGAAGGGATTAAAAAAAACTTCTCAGAAATAAACAAAAATAACATTCTCAGAGTAGCAAAACAGTATGCATGGGATGAGAATAAGGGCGCTAATTATTATGTAGAGAATATCTGCATTTGCAGTGCCACGATGTGATCCACTTTATGATCTGACCTTCCTAAATATGATTTGAAAAGCAGGAGAAAGTACAGGGTGTGACCTAAAAATGGTAGTCTGGAAGCTTCTTTGGGTATGTTGGGTCTGAAATGCAGTCTTTCCTCTTGAGTCAAACCTGAATAAACTGTTTTGGGTGTTGATGTTGTCTTTATGGTTCCAGCTCTGCCAGACATAGCTATTGCTACTTTATTTTAAGAATTACTTGGAATTTGAGTCCTGCTGGAAACAGAATGTTGTCAGGAGGATGAAGTCTTGCTGTTAAAAA